TCTGCAGGCTCTCTAAATCTGTCTTTACACCAGTGTTCATGTCACCACCACTGAGATCTTCTTATTTAAAAGCCTATTCTTGGTTTGCATTCAGCAGAGAAATGTTGGAAGTTACAAAGTCCCAGGATTCACTCATCTGTCTGTCCCAAAGGTTCGCACTGAATTCAGGTTTGCAGCACCTTCCTCGAATAATCTGCAGAGTCAACTAAAACTTCAGGAATGTAAGGTGATTATAGATGACTTGGATGCAGTAACTTCAGGCTGTTTTAATAATATTTCATTTGTTTAAGGTATTCATCCTTTATTGACAGTGCAGCTTACACATTTTGATTGTTTCTGTGTTTTATTTTCATATCTTGTACTTGTTGCATGGATTTGTGCGTAAAGTCTTTTTGTTCTTCCTGGTTATATAAAATTCAAAATGCTGTATTTTGGGTTTATTATCTGATGTTTGGGCCCCTGTTTATGAGCATTTCGCAAATGCCTCATTTACCTGCAATCGTGTTTTGAATTGATCTGTGTAACTGTAAAAAGCAAAAGTATTATAACTTAATTATCTGTAGGCATTGCATGTCCACTTTTCTGCCTTTGACCTGCGGAGCAGTACCCAGAGACACTGCTGTAGTTTCAAATGCAGATTTAAAGGACAGAAATGACTCAGTTTGGCTTCTTTGGTGTATTTATGTAGTGATGCAACAGTACATAAATACATGTGAATTATATGAAAATACTCTATCCAAATCCCAGGCCCTGTTCAAACCTTTGTGCTTTATTGGCAGTACAACGTCTGCACTGTGCGTCTGAGGAGGGATTAAAGAGCATCCATGTGTGCATAAAGAAAAGCACTGTATACACGTGGCTTTAAGTGCTCAGTAGGAGCAGAAATGTGTTATATGAATACCATCCATTTACCGCTTACCAAGATGAATCATGCAGATGAAGCCTGAATGAATTAGGACAAAACAATAAAGCCTCTGAATCAAGTTTAACCTTCAGAAATGGCAGATTTACCAGGCCGAGCGAAAAACACGATGCTACATCTACCTGATCTAACTTGGCGGCCCTAAAAAAAATCCCCCTGCAAATGACACACCTGTAAAAACCTGCCGAGACACGAAGATGCTCCAGGATAAGACAGCACGTGCACTCGTGTGTGGAGATCTTGGCTTTATTTCAGTAAAGCATTCGTTCGATCATTTGTTTTGTTTTTTTAATCCAACAGATTTGATCAGTTTTAGTTCTACAACACACAAACACGGTAACAACTACTTCATATTGCAGGTATATTATGGGCTATTTGGTTAACAGAGAAGAGTACAGTAAACTTAAAAAAAACATTTTATATACAGAATATAGACATGACCTCATAACCTTGCATATGCACTGGAGCTGCTGTGATTCGTACAAAAAAAAGTTATCTGATGCCTGAGCGCCCCTACATTCGTACAAACGTGGATTTGGGGAGTTTTCAGGCCGGGTCTACAAATACAACTCTGCAGAAAGGTGCAGCTTTTGTGTGTCTGACTTTTCAAACAAGAACAACAAATGACAAGTTTGGACACAGGTTTCATATTTTTGGCTGAATAAAACAAAATTTGGTATGTGAGATTTTTCTGAACGCTGAACGATTGTCCTTTTTTGTTTTAAACACAGCAGCCACATAAAAGCTCAACATCGACCTTAAGAAAGAAGACGAGTGACTTTCTCCTTCTACGCACGATTTACGACCGTTAGAGGTGCGGAGACGCACTGATTGTAGCTATGGTTATATAACTTTGGAAGAAACGCTATTTATAACAGAGGCACTTTAAAGACGTGGCGATTTGCCTCGGCGAGATTCAGAATTATACAGGAAGTGTGCACCGTATTCATATAAAAACAAAACAAAAGACATGCTAAGCTCAGATATAACGAGCAGAAGATGCTCGGAGTGTCTGTACATTTTCATATACAACATACTGAATCTGGTGACAAACTAATGTACGCTTTTCAGTATTAATTACTCAAATACAGCTGTACCACCTGCAGAGAGACAACCGCACACTCTCATTACACCACCCAAGGACTGCAGCGACAGCGTGCAGGTGGAGCTCCATTTTCTGACCTTTTGAAGTGTGGAGGCAGATATTTGATGTTTAGAAGGTGTTACTTTCATCAAACCTCTGAAATACTTTGAAAACTTTCACATGACGAGCGCAGACCCACGCAGCACCGCCTAGCAGGCCTCGCCGTGCGTTTGCTACATGCACTTGTTGTTCTTTCTGATCGTACAGCAGCCTCTCAGTGCAGCTCCCCTTTAACCCAGCGAAAGCACGAATGCAACAAATGTGGTTTTCCTTTGAGAGTAAAAATATCCACTGAATATGACCCATCGTATTAAAGTGAATGGTTTCAATGAGGTGTTAGTACTGGCAGGTTTATTACACTGAACAGAGACGGACGATCTCAATGCAGGAAGTGCCCAGTCTTTTCTCGCCGGTCTTTTTTTAATCCCGCACCAGCTGGTCAGAAGTTCCTCGATGATCAGTTTATGTGTTTGGTGCCAAAACATGAAAAGTCTCGATCCAGCCAGCAGAGGGCAAAGGCTGCCTCACTGGACTTAGAAGAACTCAATCAGAGAAAAACTCCAAAAGACTTTTACTCAAAAATGTTTAAGAAACTATACAGAGTCTTCTGCAGTACAAAGAGAAGATAACATAAGAGGTGATTGATTATTATAGAAGAATAAGGGATTAAAGACAGACGTGAGAACGTACTGATTGTGTTACTATGAGTACACAGAAGCCCCAAAGTCAGTCGGTTTCTGCTTTCTTCCTCTTCCGCCTACGCAAACACCTGCATGTTTCCGAGCTGAGGCTGCTGAGATGCTTGCGGCATCTGCTGCGACTGCGGCTGCAGCTGCACCTGCTCTGGAATGTGTGTGTGGTGTGATGACGGCAGTGTGTGGTGGGAGTTCCCCAGAGGGGTGGGGCTGGTGGTGACGTCGGACCAGTCCGAGTTGGAGTGCGGGGAAGAGGAGGACCAGGGGTCGGGGGATTCCGGCGAGGGGGTGAGATACGGGTGCTCGCTGGGCGGGTGGGCAGAGTGGCTGGGCGTGGTGCCCTCCGAGCCTGCTGTGGTGTAGCTGTGCTGCGAGGGAGGCGTTGGGTATTTATCCACCGGGCTCTGCATGGTCGGGTATGAGGGCAGAGCCCGAGACTGGCCCTCGATCCCTGCGTGGCCTCCGTGGCCGACAGCGTGTGGGTGCTGCAGGGTGTGTGGGAGCCCGTGAGCCATGGCCATCTGATCAGAGATCTGGTATATCATCCCCGGGGTGCAGTGGAGGTGCCCCGGAGCCTGCTGGGAGTGACTCTGAGTCTGGTTCTGACCCTGGGACTGTGTGACTTGCACCTGCCCCTGCTGAGGCTGCTTCAGCATGGCCTGGCCTGCTCCGGGAGTCATCATCTGGAAGGTGACGATGGGCGGCAGCTGCTCCCTGCTCACGGTGACGTTCATGGGGGTCAGCCCGACGCCACAACCCTGGCCGTGGTGCTGGGCCATGCCGGGGTGGGATCCCGGGATCTGATGAGGAACCAGGCTGAACATGGGGCTGTATCCGTGTTTGCTCATGCTCACCCAGGTCTGCTGCTGTCCCAACATGTGGCTGACAGGGGGCAGCATCTGTCTGGAGGTGGGGCTGCTCAGCAGGGGCGGGGAGTTTGCTGTGGTGGAGACGGTAGTGGAAACGTCGCCTGCGTAGGAGTGAGGAGACTCCAGGGAGTCGACGGGCGACATGGTGACGGAGCTCTCTGGAAGGCCTCCTGCTGCCTTCACGCCATTGGTGCTTCCTGCTGCCGTGCCTCCTCCATTCCCTGCTCCCACCCCAGCACTTACAGCTGCCCCATCTCCTCCTGCAGGCTTCTTCCTTCTCTTTGCCTTCATGTCTTTCATTTCTTTGGGCCCTCCACCAACACCTACTTTTGTGCCCCCGCCCCTCCTGCTCTTCTTCCCCTGTGGTCCAGGGCGCATGCCAATGTAGGCTGCTCCATTTGCTCCACACATAACAGATGAGTTTCCTCCTCCACCCATGTGATTAGGCCCGTTGTGGGGACTGTGAACCAGATTGTACTGATCCAGGAGACGGACGATGTCGTGGTGCATGCGTTCTTGAGCCGTATCGCGGGGAAGCCGATCCAGATGATCAGTGATGTCGCGGTTGGAGTAGTGGTCGAGGA